ATGACCAAACAACTGAACAACTGGTCAGCTGGTCACTATGACATGCATTGACCACCGGGAGGAGACACTCAATGCAGGAGCTTTCCCTTGGTGGTCAATGTGCTCCCACAGTGGGAGTATCACTCAGCTGACTAATCCATCCCAGCGGCCCACCAGCCCCTCAGTAGTCCTGGAAGTCCACCACAGAGAACGAGCCAGGCAGACATCCCTCTCACAATCCAGGACTGTTGGCTCCTAACTGCTCGCCTGCCTGCCTTCCTGATTGCCCTAACTGCTTCTTCCTTCCAGCCTGATCACCCCCTAACTACTCCCCTGCCAGCCTGATAGATGTCTTACTGCTTCCCTGCCAACCGGTTTGTTCCTAACTGCCCTCCCATGCAGGCCTGGTCACCCCTAACTGCCCTTCCCTGCAGGCCTGGTTGCCCCCAACTTCCCTCCTCTGCTGGTCTGGCCAACCATAACTGCTCTCCCCTGCAGGCTTGATTGCCCCCAACTTCACTTCCTTGTAGACCTGGTCCCTCCCAACTGCCCTCCCCTGCTAGTCATCTTGTGATGGCCTTCTTGTGTCCACATGGGGGTAGGATCTTTAACCATATAAGGCAAGCCATCTTGTATGTTGGAGTGATGGTCAATTTTCATATTACTCTTTTATTAGATAGGATAGAGACCTGGTGCATGGGTGGGGGCCAGCTGGTTTGCCCTGAAGGATGTCCTAGGTCAGGGTGGGGGTTTCATTGGGGCATGGGATGGCCTTGGCAAGGGGCCTATAATAGTCTGCAGGCTGGCCATGCCCCTCCCCCACCCCCACCCCCCCCCGCAACCCAAATGAAGGCCCTGGTATCTGGGATTTATTTATCTTCTATAATTGACTTTGTAGCCTTAAGAGGAGTCCAGGTTGTGCAGAAAACTTGGCTTCCTCCATCACCATGGAAATCCAAGCCTTCTGCTCTCTCTATGGCTAAACCATCTTGGTTGGATTAATTTGCATACTCGCTCCTGATTGGCTGGTGGGCAAGGCTTGTGGGTGTAGAAGAGATATGGCCAATTTGCACATTACTCTTTTATTATATAGGATTACTAGAGGCCCTGTGCACGGACTTCACAAACTTGGTGTGGGGGGGCGGGGAGGGTGTCTTCAGCCTGGATTTTGAGAGGGTACAAGCCTGGCTGAGGATCTCACTGGTGCACAATCAGGGCTGGGGAGGGAAGCAGGAGGGATCCAGGGCATGTCCAGACAACCTTGCTCAGTCCCAATCAGCCGAACCCCAGCATCTGCCCCTTGGTAGTCAGTGCACGTCAGATTAGCATATTATGCTTTGATTGGTTGAATGGATGACCAGACACTTAGCAATTAGGTTTTCATTATATAGGATTATTATTTTTAAACAGTATTAAATATATTCATTTAAAGTAATCAACTTTCTGATTAACATAATTATTTTAGTAATATATATAAAACCTTTGCTGAGACCGGTTTGGCTCAATGGATAGAGTGTCAGCTTGGAGACTGAAGGGTCCCGGGTTTGATTCTGGTCAAGGGCATGTACCTTGGTTGTGGGCATAGGGGGTTTGCAAGAGGCAGTTGATCAATGACTCTCTCTCATTGATGTTTCTAACTCTCTATCTCTTTCCCTTCCTCTCTGTACAAAAAAAAAATCAATAAAATATATTAAAAAAGTAAATTAAAGAAAAATAAAACCTTTGCTTCCTAGGCAAATACAGGGAAAACCTTTTTCTCCTTACTTTCAGAAGTAGGCTTATTTTTCTAACAGAAAACATGCTCACATTTTTAAGAAGCATAACAGAGATAGTGAATTCCTTAACTGAGAAACAATTCCCTCGAACTTGGAAATCCAAGCTGGCTCCAATGACTCACTGCGCAGTTACTTTTACTGTCTTACTTTTCGTTTTCGAGGGTTCCATCATGTTTTGTTGCATTCCTGGTTCCTTACATGGGGCACCACTTTGCCAGGGCTGACTGGCAGACCCTTAACAATGGATAAACAGATTGTTCTGATACGTGTTTCTATGAAAGAGAGGTCTAAGGAACTGCTTGGCTATCACCACCAAGTAGCCTTGTTCACCTGGGAGTGATCAGGCTGACAGGCAGGTTGAGCAGTTGGGAGCCAGAAGTCCTGGATTGTGAGAAGGATGTCCAACTGCCAGTTTAGGCCCGATCTCACTGTGACTGGAGAGGGTGCAGGCTGGGCACCTACTCCCCCCTCCCCATCCCCAGTGCACAAATTTCATGCACCAGGCCTTTAGTAAATGCATATATTCGTAGATCAATGGACAAGGACAACAATGTACTGAATCCCTGGGTTGGGGCATGGGTGGTGTGGAGGGGAGAAAAACATGGGAGAAATAGGGGATATATGTAATAGTGTTCCCAATTTTTTTTTAAAAGGAATCAGAGGAAATGGGAAAATAAAAGTTTGGGGACATATTCATACATGCACATACACGTGAATATGTACAAATATACACATACATCAAACCAAACGGGAGCAAGACTTTTTTTTTTATCGGTGTCTGCAAATGCTGGGCCACACCATTGAACTCTTTCAGGATATAATTGGGAGTGGGCCACCTCTGGAATTGTAGAGTCTTCTTCCATGCAAAACCACATGGACTCGTTGCCAGCACAATGCCTACCTGATTCTCTTGGGAGGAAGTCTGAAGTCATTTCGTCACTCTTTGCTGCCAGAAGTAGAGATGAGGCTGTGATCTGGATGTTCTGTTCTCCCATTCTGCAATAATGTGAGCAGGCCCACACAAGTGCAGCTGCCAGGTGACACTGGAGACACCCTGCTCATTAAGGACAGCCAGTCAGAGCTCTCTCTAATGGCCCCACAGCCCACCTTGGGGAACTTGGCCATGACTTGGTTTTCACTGCTCACAGAGCAGTGTGTTTGTATATGACAGACTCCTTGCAAACGGCAGGAACATGACTTAGCTAAACCATCTGACCACTTCTAAAATGCCATCTAGTCAGACACAACAGAGCCCAGCTGTACTCTCTCATATGTAAATCTGGTGTGAGTGAATGCCAAAGCACCTCTCTGTTAGCAAACTCAGGGGGATAAATAGAAACAACATAGCCAGTCCATGGTTCAAAATGACAAGCAGTTTATTGAAAATACTATAGAAGTACAGTCTATCACTGGATGCAGTGATGGGGCCAAACGCATGAGAATTTTTATAAGATAATGAATTAATAGCTGGGTTACAAAATGGATAATTAGAGCTAATTCAACCAGTAGACTTCTCTTCTGAACTGTTTGTTGAACTGTGAAATAACTGACCTTCTTTAGTAAAGGGAATTTGGTTGCCAGACATCCAAAATGATGTTATCAACACACCACTGTCATCATTTTGAGCATCCTCTTCATGCTCAAGTCTACTACTCTATGCACTTTGGACTCAGGATGGAGAGAGATAAAAAGTATAATTGTTTCCCTTTGAAACATCCTGAGTTAGATTAGGATTAAGCAATAGCTTCTCTGATTATTCAGAAGCTCAGATCATAGATTGGGATGTTGACCTGAGCCTCTCTTATTGGACCCATTGTAGAGTTAATTAAATCACATCACATTTTAAAACTTAGCAAGAAGCAGGGGTGGCACTTCCTACAGTGTGTCAGCCTTAGCCACACGCAGCTTTGCCTGGGAACTGTACCCATGTTCAGCCACAGCAGCAGGTTCCCCAGAGGTGACTATGGACCAGGCAGCACTATTCCTCTTATCATCCCAAACATCTTGGAGGTGGGGACAATCATTTCCTCTTTTTACAAAGGAGGAAACTGAGAGGCTGAGAGAAGTGAAGGAGATACTGCTAGCCGGCAGAGAGCCAGACTCAGTTTTCTCAATGAGCATGAACGAAATAGGAGAAGCTGCGTGAGCAGTTGCAAAGGATTGCCAAGGACACAAGGGAGGGAACAGTGCTCCAAAGTACACATTCTAGCTCAGTCACCAGGCTAATCACTTACTCTCCCTGCAGAGGGCGGCTCACCCTTTTTGCCCAACTACTTCATAGGATCTTTGGGAGGTCCAAATGAGATCCCATACATGAAAAGCCTTGAAACAGCAAAGCATTTGACAATACGTTTTCAGTAAAAGGACAGAAGTCTAAATCATACTCTTTAAGAGCATAACACTTCAATCATCAGGGCTTCAATGGAAAGACTATATCTCCTCTGATCCCAGACTAAATCCTTTAAATATACAGGATTTTCTTAAGCAATCTTTTAAAGAGAAAGGGCTCAGGCATACATGCTGGTACCTGAACTGGTCTTTGCAGGAGGCTTTAGTGACTTAAATTTAATGCAGACACCCTGCCATGGCTATTTATCTTGAATGAAGAAAGTAGGCATTTTCTTGTTGCTATCAATCCTGTTCCAAAGAAACAACTTCTGTAAATTTACATTCTTAATCTTTGCAATACAAGAACGAGGAAAAAATAAACAACACTTTCTAATGAAAGGGTCACATTATATAATGTAATTCACTTTTTATTATCATCTTTATAAACAGCCAAATCCACAGTTCAGTTTCCAAACAATGAATGCAAAAGCAGATGATCTATTAATATGTATAGGAAGGACACCTGCATGTAATGTGATAACAGCATAGCTTTGGAGCCACTATGTTTTGCCAATCTATTAAAAGGTAACCATAGAATTAAATCCTGAACAATTAAGACAATGTAGTCTTTGAACAATTAAAAACAATGAATTGTCATGTCAGTGTGGGAGATCTGAAGATCTGAGCAATCCAGCCTTTTAGGTAATGTGGAAATTCTATTTTCTCCTTTCATCTAAGGATCATTAAAGAGAAATCTCTCTCTCTCTCTCTCTCTCTCTCTCTCTCTCTCTTTCTCTCTCTCTCTAACACACACACACACACACACACACACACACACACACACACACAAGACTACCTGCCCAGGGCACATGTGACATACTTGGGGACATACTTCCCAGAGGATTGATGGAGGCACTATCATTCCAGCATGTGCTGGAGTACTGAGAGGTCCCCCTCCACAGCCTGGAGGCCCCTTTGCAAGCTCTGGAAGGTGGCCTGCTTCCCATAGCGCTGCCTCCAGCGGACAAAGGCCTCCACCATCTGTGACTGCACGTTGTAGGGGTGGTTGGCCTTACAGCGGTAGATATCTGTCTGGGACAGTCCCAGAGACAGCACCATGGGCTCCCACTCGGGGCCCAGCCTCTGGGCCAGCTGGTTAATCTGCCGGTCTGACGGGGAGCTGTTGAGGATGTGTGGAGGGATTCCAGTTACCTGGTTACCTGGGGAGGAGAAAGATACCAAGGTGAAGAGAGCAAGCAAAAACATCATGGAATGGGGGTTGGGGAGAATGGAAAACATGGGGAGTATGACGTACACTTCCAAATATCAGGGACCGATTTTTCCTAGTCTTCTTGGGGGGTGCTCAGTACAAAGCCATAGATAGGGGTGGGAGAAATACCATTCAGCATCTATGAAAATTCAACGTTTATTACAGAAAATTTGAAAACAAGAAAATAAAAATAACTAGAAATCTCACCAGAGAAACCAATTGATTTGATCTATTTCCTTTCAGTCCTCTATGTAAAACACACATTTAGGATTACATTGCACATACTGCTTTGTAACAAACTGTTTTCACTTCCATCTCTCTCACTGGAGAGGCTAAGAGGGGGGTTTCGGAGGAATGTGAGGGTGCTTACAGGGGCCCCAGATCCCTCTATCACTGGCCAATGGGCACAGGGGTGACACTGTGGCCTGCAGGACTGGCTAGTGCTGGAGAGTAACCTGCTAAATAGAACAGTTACCCTCTCCTGACAAACGTGAACATCACCAGAGAAGGGAAGGGAAAAGTGTGCATGATGCACCCTGTGCAGAAAGAAACTGTATTGTGCAAAAGCCCTAAGGCAGGAGAACATGGTGCATTAAAAAAAGTGAAATTAGTTCATTGTAACAAAGTTCAAATATTGCGGACTCCAAATATCCTCAATTATGTTGCTGGTTACTCGTTAGGCCAGGACTAGAAGTGGGGTCTCCACATTCCTGGCTCAGACATCTGCACAATAGCACATTGCACTGCACTTTCTGTCACCAACATCACAGGTTAAGCCCACTTCACACTCACCAGCTCACTGTTTTGATTTATGAAGACAGCTAGAGGCCTGATGCACAGAATTCATGCAAGGGGGTTGGCCCTCACAGCTGCCGTGGCTTGCCTTGGCCCTTGTAGCCCCGGCTTTGTCTGGAAGGTTGTCTGGTCTAATTAGGATATTATGCTTTTATTATTATAGATAAGGAGACAAAAGGTATCTTATTAGAATAGACAATGTTTTGGCATGAGTTATAAAATTAATGTCAAGGGCTCTTCTTGGTGTTTATCAAAATTATAATTTTAAAAAAAATTACTAAGTAGCAATTAGAACAATGATATCACTGACCAGTATTTTATATTAATAGTATTAATTTCATGACTTTTATTAAAAAAAACACTAGAGGCCCAGTGCATGAAAATTATGCACAGGGAAGGGGGTGTCCCTCAGCTAATCTTGCACCCTCTCCAATCTGGGACTCTTCGAGGGATGTCTGACTGCCTATTTAGTCAGACATCACTCTAACACACAAGATGGCTGCCCTTATGTGGTCAAAGATCCTACCCCCATGTAGACATAAGAAGGCCACCACAAGATGACCAGCAGAGGAGGGCAGTTGGGAGGGACCAGGTCTGCAAGGGAGGGCAGTTGGGGGCAATCAATCCTGCAGGGGAGGGCAGTTAAGAGTGACATCCTAACTGCCCTCCCCTGCAGGACATCCCTCTCACAATCCAGGACTTCTAGCTCCCAACTGCTCATCTGCCTGCCTTCCTGGTTGCCCCTAACCACTTCTGCCTGCCAGCCTGATCACCCCCTAACCAAGTGCTCCCTAACCAATTGATGCCCAACTGCTCTCCTGATGACAGCCTGTTTGCCCCCAACTTCCCTCCTCTGCTGGCCTGGTCACTCCTAACTGCTCCCCCCTGCAGGATTGATTGCCCCCAACTGCCCTCCCTTGCAGACCTGGTCCCTCCCAACTGCCCTCCTCTGCTGGTCATCTTGTGGTGGCCTTCTTGTGTCCACATGGGGGTAGGATCTTTGACCACATAGGGGCAGCCATCTTGTGTGTTAGAGTGATGATCAATCTGCACATTACTTTTTATTAGATAGGATAAAAACCTGATGCATGGTTGGGGGGGGCAGCTGGTTTGCTCTGAAGGGTGGGGGTTCCCTTGGGGCCTGGGGCAGCCTGAGTGAGGGGCCTGTGATGGTTTGTAGGCCGACCATTTCCCTGGCGACCCAAGTGGAGGCCCTGGTATCTGGGATTTTATTTATTTTCTACATTTGAAACTTTGTAGCCTGGAGCAGAACCAAGCCTTCAGCTTGCTGCATGGCAGCAGTCATTTCTGTTGGAATTTATTTATCTTCTATAATTGAAACTTTGTAGCCTTAAGCAGAGACCTGGGCTGACCAGGCTGTGTAGAAAGCTTGGCTTCCTCCAACGCTGGGGAAACCCAAGCTTCCCTTCTGCTTCTCCATGGCTGCAGCAATCTTGGTTGGATTAATTTGCATAATCACTCCTGATTGGCTGATGGGCATGGCTTGTGGGTGTAGTGAAGTGATGGTTAACTTGCATATAACTTTTATTAGATAGGATATGGGCTCATTAAAAGACTCAAGCAACTCAAAAAAGTAAAAGAATAAAACAAATCATTCAATATCCCACCACTGTATTCACAGTTGTTGAACATAATTTTGTACATATACTGTTAGAAGAATAATATAACAGCTATTGTTCTAAGAATTATTTAAATTTTTTAATATAACAGAAGAAGGAAAAAAAAAAGAGAAACTAAATGGCTTTCTGACCTGCAGTTAAAAATACTTAAAACACATGCAAACCACACACACACACACACACACACACAAATCAATGTTGAGAAAAAAAATTTATGAAAATTTAAGAGATATATTGCATATTTTAACATTAATGCTCTACAATAAATACTTTATATTTCCTCTCCCTTTCTTCACACCTCTTGATTTTTGTTGCTTACATTATTTTATTTTGCCAGGTGCATAACATTTACATTATAATGGTTTGAATCGTTACCCATGGTTTTTTGTTATTTTTATAACCATGGAATTCTTATTCCTGAGTTTGTTCTTTTGATTTGAATCTTTGGGTCAAATTCATCATAGGGTGATTTTTCTGAGGAAATGCTTATGGTTATTATCTTCCTTTAGTTCTTTCAAATCAAGACAACCTGCTTATTCCTTCACTGCCAAATAGTAACTTATATTTATTTAAAATGTTCATATTATGTTATTTTAATATTATTCTTTCAAATTATTAATACAATTTTATATAATTTTAATAATTTTATTCTTATAAGTTTGTAGACTGTGCTCATATTTCATGGTAGAGATCATTGGTGTGGAGAATTCTGAAAGCAATTTGATATTCCCATTTTATATAAGTTGCTTTTTCTGTCTGGAGTTTATAATATGGAAGCTTTAGATTAAAGCATAACTTGGTCATTTTCTTTCTGCTTTGCCGGGCATGTGACATGACCTTGTGACCAAAGATTTAGTTCTTCCTTCCTTTCAGAAATATCTTCTTGTTATATATTTTTTGTTAATCCTCACCTGAAAATATTTTTTTATTGATTTTTAGTGACGGTGGGAAGGAGGAAGGGAGGGGAGAGAGAAAGAGAGAAACATTGATGTGAGAATGACACATTGATTGGTTGCCTCTCACATGCACCCTGACCAAGGCTGGGGATGGAACCTGCAACAGAGGTATGTGCCCTTGACTGGGAATAGAACATGTGACCCTTCAGTGCACAGGCTGATGCCTTAACCACTGAACAACACTAGCCAGGGCATTCTTATCATATCTTTGCACTATTTTTCTGCTTCATATATTGTATGGCTTTGCCTATCCTCCATGACTATCATTTTCTCTCTTACTGCTTTCACTCCCTGTGATAAGCTCCTGCCTTTCCCCAGGCCACTCATTTGATTCCACACTGTGTGTGTGTGTGTGTGTGTGTGTGTGTGTGTGTGTGTGTGTTTGTTTTATGGCTCAAATCTTGTATTGTGCTTTGTCCTCAATTTCTCTTCTGGCTCTTCAATCAATCTTTTACAAATCCCATTTCACCTCACACCCATTGGATGGCTACTATCAAAAAGAAGATGGCAGAATTGATAAATGCTGGGTTGGCTTCCTACCACAACCACATCAAAATTACAACTAAATTAAAGAACAATCATTCTTGGCAACAAGCCAAAGACTAGTTGAACAGATATCTAATAACTAAGGATAAAAAGAAGCCATGTTGAGGCTAGTAGGAGGGGTGGAAATACAAAATGAGCCAGTCCCACAACCATGCAGTGGTGGTTAAGAAGCAGGAGGGATAACTTGGCTGTGAAGATCTCCCCTTAAATAATGAGGGATCCCAACCCCACACAAGGTTCCTCACCCCAAGGTTCTAGTGCTGGGAAGAGAAACTCTCATAAGGTTTGGCTGTGAAAACCAGCGATGATTGCAGCTGAGTGAGACAGAGAGCTGCTGGATTCCAGGCATTCCTCTTAAAGGGCCCATTCATGGACTTACTATCTCTGAGCTCCAGCATTGGGATGGTAGCTCAAAAGTCATCAGAAACATAGGAAAGAAGCTGACTTATCTGGCTTTGGAAGAAACAAAATTGTCCAGCTTCAGAGTGAGGGCTACAGGGGAAGCTTTCTCCCAAACAGAAGTGCTGGCAGAGGCCATTGTTCCTGTGTTGAGTCCTCCCACAACACAGTCTGTGGCACAGGTCTGAATCTCTACCAACATGGCTAACACTATTTTCTCTGCCCTGATGATTTCCTGAGACCCTGTCCCACCCAACTCTCGGGCCTGTCCAATCTGCTTTAAGTAGCTTTTCCATACAAATGGCCAGTCTCAGCTTAAGCTTTGAACTTATCTAAAATTTTTCAAAGGCTCACAAATCCCAAATAAGCAGTGTCTGTCCTCAGTGTGGCCAAGTTAGGTAGCCCCAGGCTGGGCACAGGCAGTGGCTGAGGTGACTTGCACCAGAGCCCCTTCTAAAAGACCCAGAATCAACATACCCAGTGGCTGGCTTCAGACCACCCCAGAATACTACCCAGTTAGCTCCACAAATGACAAACCCAATGTGTGGACTCAACAGGTACCAGAGTCCTCCTAAAATGAATCAAGCTCCATGTGGTTAGCACCCGCACAACAG